ATGAGTACGAGTAGCATATATCCAAGCTATAAAGGATATGTATGAAGAGCAAAGACTGCCGTAAGAACTCATGAAGGACAAACCGAAAGCTTCTCCATAACTGTAGGATTACATCAAGGCTCATCTTTAAGTCCTTACCTTTTTGCGTTGGTAATGGATGAGTTAACAGAACATATTCAAGATGATATTCCTTGGTGTATGCTTTTCGCAGACTATATAGTGTTGATAGATGAAACTCAGGAAGGGGTAAATGCAAAGCTTAACCTTTGGAGAGAAGTGTTGGAATCTAAAGGTCTTCGCCTAAGCCGATCAAAGACAGAATATATGGAGTGCAAGTTCAGTGCAAATGGAGGCCAAAATGAGTTAGGGGTGAGGATAGGAGATCAGGAAATACCAAAGAGCGACCGTTTTCACTACCTAGGATCTATCTTGCAAAAGAACGGAGAATTAGATGAAGATCTCAACCATAGAATACAAGCTGGATGGATGAAGTGGAAGAGTGCATCCGACTTGTTGTGTGACCGCCGTATGCCACTGAAGCTCAAGGGAAAATTTTATAGGACGACAATAAGGCCGGCGATGTTGTATGGCACAGAATGTTGGGTGGTGAAACATCAACACGTACACAAAATGAGTGTAGCGGAGATGAGGATACTTCGTTAGATGTGTGGGCACACGAGAAAAGATAAGACCAGGAATGAGGATATCCGAGGTAAAGTAGGAGTAGCTGAAATTGTAGGAAAACTGAGAGAAAATTGGTTACGGTGGTTTAGACATGTGCAAAGAAGGCCTACTGACGCTCCGGTTAGAAGATGCGACTACGAGACAGAGGTTCAGAGCCGAAGGGGTAGAGGAAGACCTAGGAAAACTTTGGAAGAGACTCTAAGAAAAGACTTAGAGTACATGGATCTAACGGAGGACATCGCACATGACCAAGCACAATGGCGTTCTAAGATTCATATAGCCGACCCTACTCAGTGACTTGGATTTTTCAAGTCTTCAACCGAGAAGTTTTCCTCACTCGGGAAATTAAGGGAACACTACCTCAACCTACATGCTCCACTCACAAAGCTTCAACAAAAGAAAAATTCAAAGAACTTAGTGAAGAAGGCTTTGGTGTATTTAACAAAATACGTTGAAATGAAGCAAAACTTATTTATTGATATCTCTGATAAATTACAAATATGTACATATACATGAGTCAAAATAAACAAACAAGAGGGAGCCTTCACAAAGGTTGCTTAGGAGAAGTCTCAGCAGTCGGTAGAGCCCCAGAAAGAGAAGGCACCGGAGGGGGATCATTCGGAGCTCAGTACTAGACAGAACCCTAGAAGGAGGAGGCATCAGAGGTTGATCATTTAGAGCTTCATTACTCGGTACAGCCCCAGAAGACGAAGACAATAAATGCCTTTGGAACAAACCAACAAACTTATGATGATCAAGTAAAATCTGACCATCAGATTCCTTCATCTGGTCAAGCTTCCTCTTCATGTTTGTAGCATAGTCATGTGCGAGCCGGTGCAACTGTTTATTCTCATGTTTGAGCCCTCTAATCTCCTGTTTGAGACTCATCACTTCAGCCGCCAATGATTCAACTTGGCGGGTTCGAGCAAATAGGCGTTGGGCCATATTAGACACAGAACCTGCACACTGAACACTGAGAGCCAGATAATCCTTAACAGCCAACTCATCAGATCGTTTGGAAAGTAGTCTGTTATCTTTGGGAGTGAGAAGGTTCATGGCCACCACTGCAGCGGTCATATCATTTTTCATCACGGAATCATTGTTGGATCTATGTGCTCTCTGATGTGTGTTTGTTGGTTTCTCCTCTCACCAAAAAAGGTATAAATGTTATCACCCTGAGACTCGCCATATGTATGTTACCATGGATGTGACTTTTTTTGAGTCGGAGTTGTTTTATGCTCCTGTATCTTCATCTTCAGATCACTAGAGGGAGAGCACTAGTGGTGATTTGGAATGGTTGGATCTAGAGAGAAACACTATGGTAGAGATCACACATGCTGTGACTCAGGAGAATGATACTATAGCAGAGATTTCTAATGTTGCAGTACCATCAGAACAACCACGGCAATCACTTGTCGAGAACAGTATGAAGTCACGGCAACCACCTGCCGAGAGTAGTATGGAGCCGTAGCAACAGCTTGCTGATTCTACTGATGTACCCCCTCTCTCTCTAGCTATACAGTGATGCCCAATGAATCTTCTCTGGATATACTTGAGGTAAGTATTGTGGATGATTATGTAACTAATGCAAGTAATGATGTAAATACTTATAAGCTACCACCAAGACAAAATCGAGGCAAACCTGGAAGCAAATCTAGAACACAATCCACACGACCAAAAATTCAACCTTCAAACGAGTGAATAATGCAGCTAAAGGTGAATTTTTTTCACCAAAAGAAAAAAATGTATATATATATATATTCATTGGGATTGTTAGTGGCCCTCTACCGTGATGGTGGAGATGAGTGTTGTCTTGTTCCACGGCGTGGGTTCGAATCCCGTCGGCTCACTAATCTAATATCTAATCGAACAAATCTATCTTTTGACAAAAAAGAAAAGAAAAAAAATTCAATTAGTACTGGAAGTCAACATTTGGAGTCATTTGGTAAGTACCATATCACAATTTGTTTTTATTTGGAACCCATATCAAAATTTAATGATAAAACCGGCATCAATCCTGCTTCTCTTGATCATACAAAATCATGACATATCCACAACCACATTACTTGAATTTCATCAAAACCCAAAAACCAACTTAAAAAAAAAAATTAATTTCAAATAATTTACATCCAAAATACAAAATTTTAACGATAAAGTTTCATCATTTCATCTTCAAATCCCTAAGCAACAGAACAATCATATGCATATAAGATCTGGGTCACACCAAAATCCACCAATAAATACCAATAAACATTGAAAAAAATCCGATTAAAAACTGCAATTGTTGAATTGACAAAAATTCGAAATGGGTCTTACCGCAATTGTTGAATTGACCTTGTATCTCCAAAAATCTCAGGGAATCCGATCGGTGGTCCGGCGAATCGGGGCTGGATTGTGGGTGACCCTGAAGCGAGAGAGAGTGAGTCCGAGAACCCGATGTGGGTGGTGAGAGAAAATGGGTTGGATCCGATAAGAGTATTCCCACTCCAATACCCGTATCGGGTTTACGGGTCAACGGATTAGGATATTCTTTTAATCGAACCGATACCAATTGAAGAAAGAAGGTGCGGACCATTCATTTGAGCTGACCCAAGTTTAGGTCCGGTTGGTTTTGGGTTAGGCAGGGTTAGGTGTGGATTTGAAGCATTTGCCAACATGATATTTAGAGAGCAATTTACATAGGGTGATCAAGTCGTAATTAATGTTTTAACGTCAATGACATAATATTATCACCAGGGCCGCCCCAAGCTTAGTGCAGGCATGGCGACCGTCTGGGGTCCAAAAAAATTAAGGGCACCAAAATTATTAGGGTGATATATTTATATATGTTTTTATAAGAGTATAAATTTATAATATTTGGTTTAGAGACAAAGAAATTTATCTAGAATTGGTGGTTTTGTTGTTTAAAATTAATGAGGAGGGCTTAGGTTCAAAACATCATGTGTGCTTATTTACATTCCAATTTTTATAATTTCTTTTCATAACAGTATAAAGGTCGTACCCAGTGCACAAGGCTCCCGCTTTACGCAGGGTTTGGGAGAGGTGAATGTCGGCTAGCCTTACCCCCATTTATGGAGAGGCTGATCCCAAGTCTCAAACCCAAGACCTACCGCTCATGGGCGAAATGATCAAGAAGTTTAATTAGAAGCAATGGTTTTTGTTGTTTAAAATGAACGAGAGGTTCTAAGTTCGAAATGCTATGTGCATGTTTATTTTTTTTCAATTTTTACAAATTTTTGTTTGGTTGTTAATTTATTTACTAGCTAGTAGCTATGTGAGTTGCTATTTTTAAACATCCGTTCCAATTCAACTCAAATCTTCAACAAAGAGTAAAGTGTAGACTACATTTTTAGACCAAATTTGCAAATAATATTACGTGTCATCAAAAGGTTAAATTTAGTGTTCATTCATTACTTATACATATCTTCGAAAACATTATTATTTTTTTAGTTTTATATTGACGAGGTTAGTAAATAAGAAAAAATACCTCACGATTTATACAAAAACACCTTAAAAGTTCACATGGAAAACAAAACTCATAATCTATCTACTTGTAAGCTCGAAGTTTTGGTTTCCTTCTCTCGATACAAAATAAAATAGTTATTCCGTGTTTCTAAATTATTGAGTTTAAAGTGTTTTTCTAAAGATAATTTTATCGATGTCTTACGTGTGAAAACAAATAATTTTTTTTATATGAAGTGAGGGCACATTTTTTTGCATCGCCTCGGGCCTTAAAAATCTCTGGACCAGCCCTGATTATCACTTGAATAACAATTTATATATTTGTGTATTATTGATAGAGAATGCTAAGACAATCATGAACTTATTATTTAAGTTATTTTCAAAAGTGTAGAGTGATGAGACACATATGTTTTGTCTATTTATATAGAATCATGCTTGACGATGCCGACTATGGTTGGTTTGTGTGTTTAGGGCTTGCAGAAAAACTCCGGTATTTCTTTGTCCATGATTCTTTTTTCATAATAGTACTAGTTTCTCGGCCCGTACCTTGTATGATCATGGCTTTTACAAGCTGAACTGATGTTTGAGAAAACAGTTGGAATAAGTGGAATTCGCGGTAGATTTATGTGAACTGTGATTTCGCTGGTAAAACCCGGTAAATAAGAAAATGCCATACCCAAAAAAGAGAGAGAACTGTATGAAATTTAAGGTATTTAAATTGTTTCACCAATAACTTTTGGCTTTGTAATTGTACAGATCTATTAGCCAAGGACATGATATCTCTTCACTAGCAATGTCTTTGGTTGTGGGAATATCCATTTTTTCTTTTCTTTCTTTCTTCATTTTTCCTTAAAATGGAGCCTCGAGTGAGGAGCAGAGATCCACGAGCTTGCTCTTCTCATAGTGCTCTAGAAATTGATTGCCTTGCTGTTTCAGAAGGATGGTTTGGTTCCATCTTTTTGTAAATTTTGCAAAGGCGTACAATAACTCGTATCTTCTTAATTCATCATATTATGATTTTTCCAAGGCACCCTTGTAATTCAGTTTCTTTTGGAGAAATTGTAGATACTACATTACTTGGAGAACAGGCAAAAAGTGCACAAGGATTCAATAAACTTTTGTCAGAATATTTTGCACCAGAAGCCTGTTGAGTGTAAACCTATAGTACGTAACAATCTATCAGAGCCTATCCACGATGTGGACCTTGTTGTTACAGTTGGGGGTGATGGCACTCTATTACAACTTACAAGGTAGCCATTTCATTGATGACTCGGTTCCAGTTCTAGGAGTGAATTCTGACCCCACACAAGCTGAAGAGGTTAGTCTTTTGATTTGGCTAAGCAGATTCCTTCTTTATATTGGTGTATTAGTTCGCTGAGTTTCACTTAATCATGGCTTGTAAGCGGTTCATCCTTCTTTTCTATTTTCCTGGCTTTGACTTGGTTAGGTGGAGAAGCTCAGGAATGAGTTTGATGCCAATAGAAGCACAGGCTATCTTTGCTGTGCAACAGTCAACAGCTTTGCACAGGCTATCAGAGACAAGTAACTAGTTCCGCTCCACTATTCTAGGGTGTCTTTAAGAGCAGTCACTACTGGAAGGAGAGATAACATCTAATGTTAATGAAAGACGTTGACGTTCATCTGTAATGTAAGTTTTATACCGTGCTCAACCTTTTAGTTATAAGGAATATTTGATCAAAGTAACCACTTGCTTTAAAGGAGAGTACCAAATGAAATCTTTTTGCCTGCCAAGACCTGCTATGGTATTAAAGGAATCTAAAGTCGGCTCCACAGAAATATGTTCCGTTAAGTACGGTTGATTGGTTGTAGAGGCCCAGTCACTTGGAAGTTAGGCTTAGTTAAGTAATTTTTGTATTTTTCTACTTCTTGTGAAGTAGTCCTGCACAACCTAAATGTGATATTATTATACGTTTTGGAGATATGGAGTGAAGGATTTGTAGAAAAATTAAGTGATTTCAGTGCAAAGTAGCAATTCCTTTGGAAGTATCATAAATTTCTGAAGATCTGCTTTTCTTTTCTTAGGTACTGGCCAACATCCTCGAGGGTCGAGCTAATCCTTCCAAATTGACAAGGATATTAATACGTGTAAACTCAAAAGTGCTTCCAACTTATGCTCTCAATGATATTTTAATTTCACATCCATGTCCAGCAGCACTTTCACGATTGTCATTCAAGTAGGGTTCCTCCATGGTCACACAGTTGTATGCTCAACTTATACTATTGTTAACATGTATCTAACTTTATTTTTTAATTCCACAACTTCCCTCCCCGCCTACAAGCAGAATTAAAAAGGATGACCAGCCATGGTCCCTGCTGGTCCATTCTCGATCAAGTGGTCTCAGAGTTTCAACTGCTGCTGGATCAACCACTGCAATGCTCTCAGCAGGCGGATTTCCAATGCCCATCTTATCTCAGGATCTCCAGTATATGGTAATAGAGCCCATTTCACCAGGAGACACCTCAAGCTTAATGCACGGATTAATCAAATCTCATCAGTCCAAAGAGGGTGTCACATACATTGACGGTTCTGATGTACAGAGAGAATCAGTGAAGAAACATGAGGAGGAATGGTTAGATAGAAATATTTTTTTTGTAGATACGAGCTGTAAATACCGCGGAACTTCTGTAAACATGCGTTCAGATTGTAGGGTTTTAATTCTTTGATTTCCAGTAGAAATCTACTAGGAAAAAAGTCTATGATTGCCGATCTTTTGTATCTCTGCACCCACCTATTAATGACAATTTTATGTTCGTTGTAATCACCGAAAAGCCAAAAAAGAAACAGAGAAAAACATTGAATCGTATGATGCCTGGGTTATCCTTGCATCACATCACATGACACGTTTTTCTTGAAATGGTATTGGAATTATTCGGAATCCTAACTTCCCCTGCGTTTACTAGCACGTGAGGAACTTTCTCCATTCCAAGTAAATAAACGTGCCATTCGTTACTAGTTACATCTGCGTAAGGTAATTTATATAGTTCATCACAAGACGCTGAACAAAGAGGTTACTTTATTGATATCTTCTAAGGTCATTACCTAAAGTGAAGCAGAGGGAGGAGGGAGACGTAGAGGCGAATCAGCTTCCGGGGTGCAACGAGCATGCCTATAACCATGTCATCAGAAGCTGCTTCACCCAAAAACGAAAATATTTACAGAAAATGATGTCACAATTGATGCATTTTTCTTTTACAGCATATGATTGTTTTTTTAATAAGGTCTGCAAGAATTTTCTCTTTTTTTTTTTTTACAACAACAACAACAACAACAACAAAGCCTTTTCCCACTAAGTGGGGTTGACTATATGAATCCTAGAACGCCATTGCGCTCGGTTTTGTGTCATGTCCTCCGTTAGATCCAAGTACTCTAAGTCTTTTCTTAGAGTCTCTTCCAAAGTTTTCCTAGGTCTTCCTCTACCCCTTCGGCCCTGAACCTCTGTCCCGTAGTCACATCTTCGAACCGGAGCGTCAGTAGGCCTTCTTTGCACATGTCCAAATCACCGGAACCGATTTTCTCTCATATTTCCTTCAATTTCGGCTACTCTTACTTTACCTCGGATATCCTCATTCCCAATCTTATCCTTTCTCGTGTGCCCACACATCCCACGAAGCATCCTCATCTCCGCTACACCCATTTTGTGTACGTGTTGATGCTTCACCGCCCAACATTCTGTGTGCCATACAACATCGCTGGCCTTATTGCCGTCCTATAAAATTTTCCCTTGAGCTTCAGTGGCCTACGACGGTCACACAATACGCCGGATGCACTCTTACACTTCATCCATCCAGCTTGTATTCTATGGTTGAGATCTCCATCTAATTCTCCGTTCTCTTGCAAGATAGATCATAGGTAGCGAAAACGGTCGCTTTTTGTGATCTTCGCTAGATTGTTCCGGTCATTAGTGTGGATAAGTATATAAATGGATAGAGATAGGAAAGCAAACACAAGATGTACGTGTTTCACCCAGATTGGCTACGTCCACGGAATAGAAGAGTTCTCATTAATTGTGAAGGGTTTACACAAGTACATAGGTTCAAGCTCTCCTTTAGTGAGTACAAGTGAATGATTTAGTACAAATGACATTAGGAAATATTGTGGGAGACTGATCTCGTAATCACGAAACTTCTAAGTATCGGAGTGTGGTATCGTCTTGACTTGCCTTATCTGTCTCATAGGTAGATGTGGCATCTTCTCTGGAAGTACTCTTCCTCCATCCAGGGGTGGTATCTTTAACTGGTGGAGATGCACAAGGTAATGTATCAATTTCACTTGAAGCTTACTTGTAGTTTCAGGCTTGGTCAAGCGCGATACAAACCATGTAGTAGAAGTCCCCCAAGTCGCCGAGCTAGGGGATCTGCTGAAAGAGGTGACAGACAAGGTAAGCAATCAGAGCTCCGGCTGATTGTTCACACTCTCCCTATCTTGCAGGCAACATGAAGGATAAAGAGAAGAAAAATGAGAAGAGATGATATGAGATACTTTTGCTTTTGAAGAAGTAACTTTCCACAGGCTTATTCTTGAACTGCGCTGGAGGGTATTCTGGTTTCCTCCAGAGTAAGGCCGACTGAAGAATTTGAGGGTCAAAACAAGTCCATCAAATCTAGAGTACGTTCGACCCTGCTGATATGGGATACTTTTGCTTTTGATAGAGTAGTGGATGTATCGGCACGTGTGTTGTTACGCTGGTCTCCACATGCTTCCTTGTATCCTTCTCACTTGCCTTATCTGTTCCTCAGGCAGATGCGGTATCTTCCCTGGAAGCATAAGATGTTGAAGATGAGTACTCGAGAGCAATGCCAGGTAAGTAATCAGGTAAGAGGTTCCAGGCAGTCAGTTCCTGGCTGGAAGCTTGCTTCCAAGTGCTGACTGATTGCTCTCTTTCTCCTTGTCTTGCAGGTAAGAACAAGGCCAAAGGAAAAGACAGGGAAAAAGCATGATATGAGATACTCTTGCTTTTAACCCTGATGATATGAGATATTCTTGCTCTAGTATAGCTTGTTTGCAGAGGTATTATCGGGGGGAAAGAAAGCTGAATATTTTGAAAAGCTTTGTTGGGAGTGCCCTCTCAGATATGAGGAAGGGTTGAGCATTTTTGCAGGTCTGCCTGTCCGTTAGGGATGGAGGTCGACATATATAGGAGTCTCCCTAACAACAAGTAATAATGCTATTCCTTTACCCTGCTTGGTCATAGCACGGTAGTGGGAGCTGCCAGCTTCACATGTTTTAACTCTGTCAGAGCACTTTAAAAAAGTGGTCTGTGGTATCTGGAAAGCTGATGTTGCGTGTGAAGATTACAGACAAGCTTTATCCAAGGAGATCCGGCTTGGGAAAGTGGTGCCTCTTCGGTTTTCGAACAAGCAATCCATGCTGGGGGTCTGGCTCTCGAGATTCGGAGAGCGGTGTCTCTTCGATTTTTGAGAAAGTAATCATGTTGGGAGTCTGGCTCTCGAGATTCGGAGGGCGGTGCCTCTTCGATTTTGGAGCAAGCAATCTTGTTGGGAGTGTTTTCTCGAATGTGAGTAAAGGTTGGGCATGTTTGCTAGTCTACCTTGCCACGAAGTACAGAGGTTGACACACAGGGACTTTCCAATTATCCAGCAATGGTACTGTTCCTTTACCCTCTCTTCGATTTTTGAGAAAGTAGTCATGTTGGGAGTCTGGCTCTCAAGATTCGGAGGACGGTGCCTCTTCGATTTTGGAGCAAGCAATCTTGTTAGGAGTGTTTTCTCGAATATGAGTAAAGGTTGGGCATGTTTGCTAGTCTACTTTGCCACGAAGCACAGAGGTTGACACACAGGGACTTTCCAATTATCCAGCAGTGGTACTGTTCCTTTACCCTTGTGGGTAATAATATGGTAGCTAGACCTTCAAAATTTATGTGTCTAAAATTTGTTAGTGCTGTTTCTTTGCTATTCTTTTACCCTTCTTGGTCAGAGCGATGTAGTGGGAGCTGCAATCTTCACGTGTCTCAACTCTGGCAGAGAACTTTGGCAAAGTTATCTGTGGTACCCATGAGCTACTGTTGCGTGTCGAAAGTGGATGATTGAACAGTAAGATTCATGTGCTTTCTACTTCACCAGAAGTCTTTGACAGAATGCCCATAATTTCTGCAAAGCTGAGTGTGCGTGTGACAGGTGCTGACAAGGCTGGAAAAGCTCTTCGATTTCTGAGATCGGCCCTCGTGGTCTCTGAGCAGCCCAGCTTTTGAGAAAGCAAGCGCCTCTTCGATTTCTGAGATCGGCCTTCGTGGTCTTTGAGCAGCCCAGCTTTTGAGAAAATAAACGCCTCTTCGATTTCTGAGATCGACCCTCGTGGTCTCTGAGCAGCACAACTTTTGAGAAAGCAAACGCCTCTTCGATTTCTGAGCGAGCGCCTCTTCGATTTCTGAAGCTCCGTCGAGTGCAGATTTTTATAGGGGCTGGCATTAAGTTCCAAAGCACACTTGAATCTCCACCAGTAGAAGCTCCATTCTTGCACTTCTAAGATCTTGATTTGTCCGATCTCTTCTCTCTTCAACACCTTTGAAAATGTTTGGCCCTTTCGACCGTCGTTTTGACTTGAACCTTGTTGAAGAGGCAGCCCCGCCTTCTCCGGACAACATATGGCGCCCATCCTTCGTCTCCCCTACTGGTCCTCTTACCGTTGGGGATTCCGTGATGAAGAATGATATAACCGCTGCGGTGGTGGCCAGGAACCTTCTCACTCCCAAGGATAACAGACTACTTTCCAAACGGTCTGATGAGTTAGCTGTTAAGGATTATCTGGCTCTCAGTGTTCAGTGTGCAGGTTCTGTGTCTAATATGGCCCAACGCCTATTTGCTCTAAGTTGAATCATTGGCGGCTGAAGTGATGAGTCTCAAACAGGAGATTAGAGGGCTCAAGCATGAGAATAAACAGTTGCACCGGCTCGCACATGACTATGCTACAAACATGAAGAGGAAGCTTGACCAGATGAAGGAATCTGATGGTCAGGTTTTACTTGATCATCAGAGATTTGTGGGTTTGTTCCAAAGGCATTTATTGCCTTCGTCTTCTGGGGCTGTACCGCGTAATGAAGCTCCAAATGATCAACCTCTGATGCCTCCTCCTTCTAGGTTTCTGTCCAGTACTGAGGCTCCGAATGATCCCCCTCCGGTGCCTTCTCTTTCTGGGGCTCTACCGACTGCTGAGACTTCTCCTAAGCAACCTTTGTGAAGGCTCCCTCTTGTTTGTTTATTTTGACTCATGTATATGTACATATTTGTCACTTATCGGGGATATCAATAAATAAGCTTTCCTTCATTTCAACGTATTGTGTTAAATACACCAACGCATTCTTCGCTAAGTTCTTTGAATTTTCTTTTGTTGACGCTTGTATGTTGAAGCTTTGTGAGTGGAGCATGTAGGTTGAGGTAGTGTTTCCTTAATTTCCCAAGTGAGGAAAACTTCTCGGTTTGAGACTTGGAAAATCCAAGTCACTGAGTGGGATCGGCTATATGAATCTTAGAGCGCCATTGTGCTCGGTCCTGTGTCATGTCCTTCGTTAGATCTAAGTACTCTAAGTCTTTTCTTAGAGTCTCTTCCAAAGTT